TGCCAGCTCTTTCTGCGTGAGCCTCTGTACCTCTGCACTTTACTTCTGCACCTCCTCTGAGTCTCAGTGTGCTTTTCTCTTTCCTTCTAGTTCTAGAATTTCCACTCGGCCAGCCTTCCTGTGGTTCTGGATGATGTCCGTTTTGTCTTTTAGTTGTATTTTTGAAGTGGTTGTGCGAGGCAGCAATTTCAGGTGTTTACCTATGCTGCCATCTTGGGTTTTTCCTCCTCCTCATCATTTTAAAAATTATTATAACCTTTATCATTCCTTAGTTTCCCTATAGAAAAATATTAGGCCCTGACTAGAGTCATACATTATAAGAATATTATTAATTTAATAGAGTTACTATACTCTTAAACTCACTGATACATGTTTAAAATATTATTACTATTATAGACAAAATATTTTTATTATTTCATTTTCTATTTTTGTGGTACTTTTTGGTTTTGAAAGATTGTGAATATGAATTTATTTAAAGAGATAGCATGTTTTATTTCAAAGTACTAGAGAGGGACTATAAAATTGATTTCTAACCTAATTTCCCCAGTCCCTAATTTTGTTACCTTGAGCACATCACTTCCTCATTATGTAAGGTAAGGTAAACAATGTATACCACAGAAGATCAAGTTGAATGTGTGTGCAGCAGTGCTTGGAAATAGCATAGTATGAGTTCTTGCAGCATAAGGACCACTATCTGTCCTATTTGCTTCTTTTTTTAAAATATGTTTTTATTGATTTTTTTTAGAGAAAGAAGGGAGAGGGAGAGGGAGAGAGATAGAAACATTCATGATAAAAACACATCGATCAGCTGCCTCCTGCACGCCCCCTACTGGGGATTGAGCCTGCAACCTGGGTATGTGCCCTGACCAGGAATCGAACCCTGACCTCCTGGTTCATAGGTCGACACTTGCTGGGGCTGACCAGCAGACTGTGAGTAATGGGTGAATGATTACTCTGACGCACATTTCTGTGAAACAGAGTGCTAAGGGACTGCTTGGCTTGAGAAACCAAACAGCCCCATTCACCTGCCTCCTTAGGCCTTTATTGTAACAATAGCTTGATCTAAAACTAACTATCAGACACTATCAGTAGGGCAAGCATCCTTGAGAAGACACATGCATCTGTAGTGTCCTTTAAGCAAGGACTTCTAAAGACTAAACATAAAGATTCCAATAAAACACTTGGGGGCTCAGACTTGTTTGGAAAAGTCAAGGCAGGGGCTGCCACCTTTGGCAAGGTCCACCAAGAGGACCCCTGACCTCTTGGAGACTCCTGCTTACAGACTTTCCAACCAAGTCCTATGATTCCCCACAGATACTCAATCACTGAGCCACACCTCCCTGGCCTGTTTGCTTCTTGAAGCCCCAGGGCATGCTTAGTACATAACAGGTGCTGCATAATTATCTCTCAAATAAATTAAAATTATGGATTAATGTCATGGGAAAAGAGTATGAGCCTGTTGATTTCTTTTCTTAAAAAAAAATCTATATATTTCAGAGAGGAAGGAAGAGAGAGAGAGAGATAGAAACATCAATTATGAGAGAAAATCATTGATCGGCTGCCTCTTGCACACTCCCCACTGGGGATCGAGCCCGCAACCTGGGCATGTGCGCTTGACCGGAATCAAACCTGGTACCCCCAGTTCACACAGGTCAATGTTCTATCCACTGAGCCAAATCAGTGAGGGTGAGCCTGTTGATTTCTTGATAAAATATCAATGGAAATTCTAAAAAAATGTGGTCATTTCTCAGGCCTAGGGTAATAAATGAAATATTTAAAGCAATTTGAACTATAACCATGTATTCTTCTTAAGCTAGTATGTCATTTACATCTTCCTGGCTATTTTTTCACTGGAGAGCTGGAAAGGCAAACAGTTTGATGTAGTGTCTCATAAATTCTAAGAGCATAATGAAGGTCCATCAAGATTGTGTTTATCCCCTCATTTCTGTGCACAAATTCTACCTTCACTTCAGCTCTATAAGCACATGGGGTACTTTTGACTGACATTGTTTCTATTCTAATCACATTCACCTCCCTTTTTGCAGAAATGCAAATCTTCCTTCACTTAGACTGCTAGGGTTTCTCTTGTGATCTGTGATTTCTTAGACTCTCAGTTTTGTGTTGTCTAATTTCTTTGTAAATACCTACTATAGTGTAGTTTACACAGAAACCTAGTATTTTTTCCATCCAAATTTGACGTCTAAAGTCTCTCTTCATCCTTTAATCTTTGTCCTTAATAGTTTAAATCTCTTATGTAGTATTAAGATATAATTATACTTTTGCTAAAAAATGTAATACAGCCCTGACCAGTTTGGCTCAGTGGATAGAGCGTCGGCCTTTGGACTGAAGGGTCCCAGGTTCGATTCCAGTCAAGGGCATGTACCTTGGTTGCGGGCACATCCCCAATAGGGGGTGTGCAGGAGGCAGCTGATCGATGTTTCTAACTCTCTATTCCTCTCCCTTCCTCTCTGAAAAAGAAAATCAATAAAGTATATTTTTAAAAAAATGTAATACAAAGTTATTTGTATTTTTACATTAAAATTTTGCAGTTTTTGTTAGATTACAAAAGAAATACAAAAAGTAACCATAATGAAATATAGTACACAAAATTGGAATGTTGTCCACATTGCCATGCCTCAGAAATGTCTAATGTTAATATTTTGATGTACATTATTCCATACTCTTTTCCCATGCATTTGCTAGTGTGTGTGTGTGTGTGTGTGTGTGTGTGCGCGCACGCGCATGCTAGCAAGTGCATGGGAAATTTTTTTATGTGTATACAAAAATAAAATTAAACTACACATACAGTTTTTCTCTTCATAGTTTATCTAGAATTCTTTCCACTTTGGTATTTATAGAGCTACCTCATTCTTTTTTATAGCTCTCTATTATTCCTTTAAACAGAGTAATATAATTTATTTAAACATTTCCCCATCTATCAGCTTTAGTTTGTTTGCAGATATTCACTGTTATAAACAGTGGTGAAGTAAATGGTTTTTGTTTTTATCTTTATTTTATGTGAGTTTTTCTGTAGAATGACTTCCTAGAACTGGAATTTCAGGGTTAGATGCTATCTAGTGTTT